TCCCCCTCACATTCTTCCCCTACCTGCCCGCCTGAGATTGATGAATTATAAAGATGAAGTTAGTTTTTACTTTGTCAGAACATAAAAGGCGACCTTCTTTATAGATTATAAACAATATTTGGATGAGCTTTTTGTGATATCCGGAATAATCAAGGTTAATTGACTGAAGCGTTATCAGCCGAGCCAAAGGCCGAGGCTGATAACATTTTCCTAGACCTTGATTATTCAGGATATCAGAAAAACCGAGACTAATAATTATTTTGTTTTGAATAACACTGCATCGCTGACGAACACTTGTCAGTTTGACATTACTCTTGGAAATCATGCATTTCGCACGTAACACTAATCTGCTGCTTACGACCACCTCGGTTATTATGGTCACTTTTTTTGGCCTGGAAAAACGGCCATACATTTTCTTGTGAAAAAACGTTCGTTAATCACCCGTTAATACCGCCACCGGCGTCAGAAATTTCGAGCTGAGCTTGTTTTTGAACTGTTTTTAGACTATAGTGACTTACAATACATTGGTGGAAGTCTAGTAGCCGATTTTTATAAGTGTTTTATGTTCTGAAGGAAAGTTTCAAGTAGCTTTTACCAAATTTAGGGTACGCGATATCTATATTCCTGTTGTTTATTAAAAAGAACACAGTTGTAAAAGAAGTGCGAATGCGGTTTAAGGTGTATTTGTCATTACGTTCATTTTGTCATGAAATTTGACTCTGCCTCGGTGATACGGCCAAATTTTTTGTTGCCCATTGGTGACCGTAATAACGGGGACTGTACCTAAACTTAAAGTTGCCCTGATTTCCAAAATAAACTGTAGGCTCTTAGCCAATCATGAGACGACAGATAGTAAATATGATGTGTAATAATTAAACTTAACACAGTGTGCGGTTCGCTGACAGTGCGGATGACAACGGTAAACTGGGAGGTGGAACGGAAAAGTATAAGACCAAGATTGTTATTAACTCCAGCGGTTATTGTAACTGGATGGCACCTGCGATATTTCAGAGCTCCTGTGACGTAAACACGGAATACTTTCCTTTCGACGATCAGGTTAGTCAAGCGATAAAAAAAACTTATCCTGGGTATTCGTTATAAAGGTCTTAACATGCGTTATGAAGGAAACAAAATGTTATCTGCATCGGCCCAAACTGCATTATATCAACAGAGAACATGAGAGAAAAGCGAAAGTGTGAAAAGACAACAAAAACAACAAAACAACAACAAAGAAATGAATCCAGCCAAAGGAGGCAGGAGGCAGGAGGCTTGGAACCGAGGCTAATTCTCCAGACAAAAAGGGTGACCTCACATCTGAATTCGGGTGACGACTGGGAACAAGAGCATTAGGCTGTACTTAGCGCACATGAGTCAAGTGTAGTTCATCTTTAGTTATTTTCTAGTCCAACTCCGTGTTGTAACAATTTATTTCATCCCTTTGATAAGTTTGTTACAAATGAGCTCTTTGCTCGCAACCTCGTCCCCAGGGCTTTTCCCTAAAAAAAGAAAAGCCCTGGGGACGAGGTTGCTCTGCTCGTCGATCTATGAGGAAAACGGCTTTCAATAAGAATGACCGAGACTAGGTTTTATGAGCCCGCGAGACTGAGCACCCCAAACAAACCTTTACTAAACCGCTGGACGTCACAACCAGGTTGAGGTGGTCATTGTTATCTAAGGTCTTCCATCTATGAGGTGGTAAATCTAGACATCTAACATATACTTGGCGCTGAACCTTTAGAGTGGTTTTCACTTGACTGTCGTAAAACCAAAACCAAAGTAAATACACTAGCCAACCAAAGGGCGTAGTAAAACCAAAACCAAAACCAAAACCAATCCCTTTCGACAGTGAAGTGAAAACCGCTCTATTGGCAATGTTTGAACTTAGACTGACTTGCTTATAAAGAAAAGAAATCAAACTAACCATCCTTGTAAAGTACATGTGTGACGCATACAGTGGCCCATACACGACTACCTCTGTTTTCTCTTTTTATCGAAAACAGACACTACAAGGTTAGAATACTTCCTTGGGACCATTGTTTTTTTTTCAGATTTGCTCACTCAGGTTTGGTTCATGGGCGTTTGACGGAGGCGAGCTGGATATGGTGGTAGATCACTCTGAGACAGGAGTAAAGAAAGGAACATATCAAAACAATACTGAGTGGGAAATGATGAAAGTTACAGTTGAAAGAAAAGAGGTGAGTATTAAAATGTTTTGTCTGTAGGTCCAAGGGCTCTGCCATACAAGTTACAATTACTAAAATCGTTATCCGAATTTAGATTCAAAGCGAAAGATCACAGGTTTAATTCCGGCCACAACAACACCACGTAATACTGGATGGCATTAATTTGTTGGTCAGAACCCATGCCGTTGTAGCTTTTCTGATCAAGCCAAGTCTTAACCTCTCATTAAAAAAGATTTACAAAATCAGGAATTGCCGGGCTCAAAGAAAGTCGGGACTGTGACTTAGACAATGATTGATTAGCAGTTGACTCTCAGTTTACAAGAATGAGCACCAGAAGCACTTAACTTGTTGTCTTTTCAGCTTTAAACTCTTCCAAAGACGGCTGTCAACAAATTCCTTTTCGTTTTCGCGCAACGTCAGTTGCTTAATTTTTAAGTTGTTTAACAGTTTCAGTTAGAGTAATGATGTCATAGTTTTAAGCAGTGATGGATTTTGAGCAATAAATCTCGGGAAAAGCAACAGGATCGTGTGATCTGATTTGCAAAAAAACCATGCCCCTAGTCTAGCAAATTCCAAGTAGCTTCTGTATGACTGACTGTTTGCCCTTTTTTAAAAGCAATGGTACAGCTGCTGTATCCACCCTTATCCCAGCGTGGTCTTGTCGCTGCATCTCAGACGACGCTACTATTTCTACATGGTCAATTTAGTGGTGCCCTGTTCTCTCATCGCTTTAATGGTCCTGCTCTCTTTTATTTTACCGCCGGAGTCTGGGGAGAGAATTGGCTTGGGTATCACTGTGCTGATGGCGATGGCAATTTTCCAGGAACTTACGTCAAATAAACTTCCAGCCGACTCTAATTACATTCCATTGTTAGGTAAGGGACTGAGATTAACAGCGGCAGGCCTGTCAAAAGAGGGAGTTTTAGATGTCAATACGGCGACGGCAACGAGATCGTCAAAAGAGCAATCGGTTTTTGTTAGCAAAACAAGTTTGCACGGGCATCACGCTTTTTTGTACCTTTCTTTGCCGTCACTGCACGACTACGACGTGAATTGCCTAATTTCACTTTTCATCGACAACGTGAACATACGACGACGAATTTTTCTTTCTCTCTATAAACTTGAATATTCCTCTTAAGAATTCAACTCCAGGAAAGTTCGCCTACATTGGACAAAGTGAGCATTTTGGGATAATCGCACTTCAGTTTTAAAGAACGCGAAGTCGTTTTTTAAGTGTCGTTTTCGCCGAGCTGTTAGATCGCTAGAATCAACCTTGTCTTTAGGGCCTTTCCAAAAGCAATCCGGAGGCCCTGAGTTCATCAATCCCTGTCCCAACTGCTATCTGGTTTAATGCAATTGTGTTATCCTCAGTTACAAAGTAACTCGGCTTTTAGTAGCAACATACCGGATGCTAATTGAGCGTTTTCACATGACGTCACGGCGGCCATATTGGTGTTCCAAAACAATAAAACGGTGGCCATGATGGTGTTCCAAACCAATCCTGTGGGAGTTGATCTCTTTTCTTATATGTAAACACTTTCGTTTGTTTTAATAAATTTGCATGCATGCAGATGCTGGTCACGTGATTGAAAACGCTTTATAGCTCGCAAATTCAGTGATGAAGTTGGCTTTTGTTCGCAGCCCCGTTTTAATGAGGCTGCAAAATTGCAGAATTTTCACTCTGTCATTGATTTTCGCTGTCTTAGACTGAATTCTGTTTCTTTATCTTACAGCCAAATACTATTCCACTGCTATTACCGAGATTGGTTTGGCTTTGTTCGCCACCTGTGTTATTTTGAACTTTTACTACAAGCAAGACACCATGCCTAACTGGCTCAAACTGTTTATGTTTCGGATTCTGGGACGTTTAGTCTTAATAAAGTACGAATTCAAAGTAAAAAAGAAGAAAAAAAGAAATCGAAAAGAACTTCTCATTGAGGAGAACTGTGAACTGCCCGAACTTACGGGAAATAAGTACTCGGGGCCTTACGATGTGGGAAAAATGAGCACGATAAATGAGAACAACTGTGAAGAAAATGGTTCCTACACTGACCCTGAGCAGCGGCCGCCCGTACAACGCAAGCGCACAAGAACACGAAGTTTGATTCGCGCGGAGACACCACTTCTGAGTGACAGGGAGGCCAATAGTCACCATCATGAGCATTGCATTCTCGAGCCAGATCACGAGAAACAGGACGATGAACTTAACAAAAACCGCGCCGACTGGCAAATGGCCGCGAAGATCCTGGACCGACTGGTGCTAGTACTGGGGATTGTGATCAGTATTGCAACCTTTCTGGCAATATTTCTGCAAGCACCAAGGGTGCGGGCAATTTTTTTTTGAAGGATAGCTTGCTCAGCGTTAGGTTGACAGCAAGGTTGATACTACGTAGAAAAATTAACTTTGCAAAGATTAGCACTGGGGGGGACAACGTTGAACACGACCGAGCAAGATTACGGCCGTACCGACAATTGTCTCGTTCAATTCTTATCAGAACTCAACTGTATGGCACATGTCACATTCTGTTGATGGTCCAGTTTTGCAAATCACGTACTATCGCGAGCCCTAAAAAGAGACCACTCGCATAACTGACGCTTTATGAGTCAAGATGGGAGAACGGGGCATCAGCCAAACTCGCCTGAGCGCCCCTAATAAGGCCTTTTGAGCAGGCTACTGAGGGTACTAAAACCTAAAGAACAATAGAACACATTCACATGTTAACCGCTTATACGGCGTTTTATTGCTGCTCCACCCACTGGGAAAGCAGAATGAACATATACAGCACCAAGACATTTGTAGCTGAATCTTTGGTGTAGTTGTATTGAAACCTAAATCCCTTGTGATTTGTACGTACACTGTCAAACCCCGTTACTTAATGCGGACACTGAATGGGCCGTAGAAAGTGTGTCCGTGTTCACTGCGTATTGGGCACGTCATGGTGTTAAAACTAAAACGACTTTTTTTATTAAAGCACAATATCAAAGAAATAAAAGAGGACATAGGCATCTTCGGATTAAACATCTTTAACCTTCAAAAAGCCGTCATTCCGCGGAATAAATCCACGTCAAAAATCGCCCTCATCTATTTCTTACTTAATGAAAACCGTTCTCTGCAAAACTCGTTTGATGCCAAAATAGTCTGTAGCGTTGGAAACAGACACATTGTCAACTGGAGGTTTTTTACCTTTTTAAAAGGAAAGGCCTATTACAGCACACTGCCGATAATGAAGTGTCTGCATAAACGAGTTTGACTATGTATGAGAATCTGTTGATTGGGCAAGAAACAAGTGTCCGTTGTCCGCATTAACTGGTGTCCGTATTAAGCGGGTTGAATTTGGAGAAAATGTAAGAGTTTAATTTTCAGCAGAGACAAAGAAAACTGTCCGTAATAACGAGATGTCCGTGTTAAGCGGACGTCCGTTAAGCGGGGTTTGCATGACTGTATTATTTCAAGCCAGACAATTAAATACAGACACACTTCTCATAACGGTACACACCCATATGTCTGATGCATATAATAGTATACACTATCCCCTCTGCTTCACCCGTAAGAAAATGTATTTTAAGTGATCTGATTTAAGACTTAATCCACAGGCCTAAGCAGTTTATCTTAGAATACTCTTGTTAAATCAGGAGTGACATGGTTAAGCAATCGCGTCTTATTCCTTCTTTCATAGTCAAATAGACCCATTGTTGAGCTACATACTTTTTTCTTTTCTTTTCTTTACTTTTTAAAATGATCCATTTTTTCATTGAGTACCCTTCATTCATATGGTGTCAGTACCCTATAGTGCCAGGAAGCATATTAAAAGCCTCAGCTTCTCTATAGCCTTCCTTGCTATTACCACTTTGATTATTTGTAAAATAAGTTATTCAGAATAGCCTATCATCTTTAATATATTTTATTATATAGACACGAGTGTTTTACTGGAAAATATACCACTCGTAAAATTCATAAAAACTACATCCGGGACCCGAGCGGTTTATTTTCCATAATCTCACACGTGAGTTTATCGATGACGTAATTTCGGTAATTTCCCTCTATTATTTTATCAATGTGTTTTTGTCTATATAATAAAAAGAACATTACACGGCAGCTTGAAGATATGAATTTTATTTTCTCGTGGGAAAAACAATATTTTACTCACTCGTTGCGCTCGTTCGTAAAATATTGTTTTGCAACTCGAAAATAAAATTCATATCTTCGCCCCACCGTGTAATATCCTCTTTATAAATTTCTTGTGTATTGTCTATGTTTTCTTGTGATGGCAAATATAATGAATTGAATGAAAGAAATGAAACTAAGGGCGTGTTCAATTGATTTTATTCCGGAATAAGAATACGCAAAAGTCCGTGAAAAGTTTGGTTAAAAGTCTAACTCTTCCGTCGTGACTGGTTTGGACCATTTACACTTTATATCTTACAACAAGATATGTAAATAACGACTCAATAAATGTCATGTATTTGAACAGCGCATTGCAAAAATATAGATGTTGAGAATTTCCTCGCAGTGTGGCAAATCATGCAGCTGTGAAAAGAAAGCCTGAAAAAAATTCAGGCTTGCCGAGGTTTATTGCAAACATTTTTTCAAATATTGTAATACAATGAAAGCCAAAACAACTGATTTCTAGAGTTTATTCCATTTATCAGATTATGCCGGAATACAGTCAATGGAACACGCCCAAAATAGTAATCCCCCGTATATGTGTTCTGATAGACTGACTATATATTAGTGATTAAAATGCTTTATACACTCTAATCTGTCAGCGGTTATGGGATGCTGTCTAAAGATTTGATTTAATTTACGATTTGTGTATACGTTTATTAGTTCTAAATGTCGAAACCGTACGAAAACGTTGAAAACTGAAGGTTATTGGGGACACCAGGACTATTTAGAGTACATTAGTGAATTTGGAGTACCTTCAATCGTAAAATAAAACAAGTAAGAAAGAAACGTTTAAATTGAATTAATTTATTAAAAATGTTCGGACAAACTCTTCAAAAAATTAGTATAGATGGCATATAAATTAAGCTTGTCATGCTAAGTCTTTGAGGTTCTTGACACATTCTAAGATATGAATTTAATAATCCATTTTGCAAGGTAAAGCCAAAAATTGAGCGTGTTCTATTACTTTGAAATTATGGATGACGCCAAATCAAGGTTTTGGCCGGTAAATGGAAAGATAACGAGATAAACTTAATCAATTGTATGTTTTCAAAGCTTCACATGATTCCTTGAGATAGCTGTCTGCAGGAGCGCCTGCTGTCTGATAGTAGCTAAGGATATCTGGTTATAAACACACTCAGTGATCTTGGTGTTTACAGCAATCTGATTGGTTCGCTATCTCGGGCTATTCAACAATATTCACCCCCTAGCGAGGGATAATGTGTGCGCTGGGTGTTTTTCCAATTTTTGTAGACAACGATCCTTCGAAAGAATAATTGTTAATTAAACACCGTGGTTACAGTCGAACCTCCACTGACTGCTTCTTCGCCACAATGGCAACCTCTCTCGCCCACAGCGGACATTTGTCAGTCCATACATTCATTCCTCAGTGTTTCAACCTCTCTACAGTGGCCACTTTCTTCTGTCCCCAAGATGGCCGTTTTCCCGGGGGGTACTCGACGGCCGTTTTCCCTGGGTGGGGAGGTGCGGCGCGGCCCCTCATACCCTTGACGCTGTTTAAGACAAATATCGCTGATTTTCCTACCCTGTTGACAGAATTCTGATTTTTGATACCCTGTTTAAGACATTAATTAACATTAGAGCTTGTAAAAATTTTGCTGTTTATCGTCCAAGAAAAGATATCCTGTTTAAGACAAAAAATGATAAATCGATACCCTGATTAAGACAAAAAATGATAAATTCGATACCCTGTTTAACTCAAAAATCCCGAAAAACATACGTATACCCTGGCTGGCCTCACGTCCCCATTAAGCCCTTATAAGGGAGTACCCCCGGGGGCCTTTGTAAAGAGGTTCAACTGTAATTCCTGAGGGCAGAGTATTTGAGACTAAAAAAGAAAGCGAGTTTTGGTTTCTTTTTCGTTTGAGTTGCATAGTGGGCAGAGGCTGTCTTCCCTGGCGATTTGGTCACACCTCCCAATCTCTGCACTCATAGCGAGAATCGCTCAACAGTCGTGAGACGACGGAACACCCCACGGCAATATCCGGAAAACCTAGGTAAAATGAAAAACCTGTAAAATTTTAAATGTTCGTCTGTTATGTCTTAGTTAATTTCAAGTGGTCCTTTCTCGACGCATCAAGAATTTTGAGGTACGGGATATTCACTTGAAAGAGTTGGTGTTATAGTACAAAAAAATACGGTAAGAAAAATGTAAAACGGCGTACATGTAGTTTTATAATCTGCGCCAAAAAAATTACATGCGGATTTTAAGGCGAAAGGCTAGCAATAAATTAAAGAAAACAATGATGAATAATTATAAATTCAACAGAAAATCAAATTGTTAATTTAATTTAATCGAGGTGAATGACACTGTCATGCAATGTTTTGGTTAGAAGCCATCCGTTCGGTCAATTAGAGCAGCCATTTTGGGAGTGTTAGTAAAGTATAGTTAGTCTGTCCATCTAAATTGACAAGAAAACTCCCTGTCATAACAATTGAAACTATTATCGGGAAGGAACGAAAGAATTTGATCTTTAATTCTCTAAGAAAGGAGCAAAATGTCAAAGTTACATGGATTTTGATTTCTCTTGCGATGATGAACTAGGGGAGATCCAACCTAAACAGGTTTTGAGTTTGTACTCCTAGCTACAAAATTACAAGAAACGTCTAATCGCAAGGTGAGTATATACTTGTAGCTTTGTGTCTTATTGAACGGAACTGAAACCGCACTGGAAGAACTCAAAATTAACGTTACTTTTAGATATAGCGCTATCTCTGCGAAGCTGACGTCCGAGGCGAAATTTTAACGCTAGAGCTGATTAAATTGTAGTTGGTCGCCGAGAGGACTAAAGCAAGATGGTAAGTTTCAAGGGATTGATAGGTGCCTCGTATTGTCAAGAACGTTCTGTATCTCCCGAGAAACTAACGAAATTATTTAATGGACGTATTCATTTCTATGCTATAAAAGGGATTAGCGTAAGATATATGAACCAAATCAGCAAAAACTCGATGTAACGGTCTGTTCTAAGGAAAAGTGTCAAACATATAACTTGGATGATTTCAAATTTAAAATAGGTGAAAATATGTAATCAAATACACGGCAGAAATGGAGGCAAATATAAGTATTCCGCAAGTAATTAATAAATGGGTTTCCGTTAAAAAAATTTATCAAACGCTGACGTTTTACCAGCTGGATCCAACTTCAAAAACTTATTTCA